CACATGACCATGGAAACGTCTTCGGACAGCGCTGGCTCTTCGGCGTGGAAACGGAAATGAGCGCCGCCCCCTAGAGTCAGATTCGACTGGCTTTCAAGCAAGGGAAACCTTTACATGGGGTAATGGCGTGGATTTATTGTACTTTATTGATATGTTGTAAATTGCCTTGAGCCTGCATGCACAGAGGGTGGTCTATAAATTGAATAAATAAATAAATTTAGTATGCCTCACTAAACATGCACATAATGAGGTTTCCAGCAGGACTTATGCCCAAGTAAACATGGCTCTACTGCCTGATCCTGCCTTCATACAGTTTTGCAAGGCCTGTAAGACCGAGATGTTCTGCCAGGCCTATGGATGAGGAAAGCAACAGTTTCCTTCATGCCTGGCCCTCCCACTATGGTGCCATCTTTCTCTCCTCCTTTTGTGGTAGCTCAGTGGTTACGATGCTGAACTGGAAGGTCAGTAGTTCAGCAGTTAAAACCCGAGTGCCGCACGACAAAGTGAGCTCCCGTCTCTGATCCCAGCTCCTGCCAACCTAGCAGTTTGAAAACAAGAAATTGCAAATAGATAAATAGGTACTGCTTCAGTTAACAGCATTCCGTTCGCCTTGGCGTCTAGTCATGACAGCCACATGACCATGGAAACGTCTTCGGACAGCGCTGGCTCTTCGGCGTGGAAACGGAAATGAGCGCCGCCCCCTAGAGTCAGATTCGACTGGCTTTCAAGCAAGGGAAACCTTTACATGGGGTAATGACATGGATTTATTGTATTTTATTGATATGTTGTAAATTGCCTTGAGCCTGCATGCACAGAGGGTGGTCTATAAATTGAATAAATAAATAAATTTAGAGTCAAACTTAAGGTGAACTAAGTTTTTGAATTTTGCAGAACTTCTCAGGCTTGACGTTAAATAGACAGGTATTCTGTAGAACCTTCAATTCAAGACTGATCATTCAACAAATGACATAGTTCTTTGGTTTCCTAGTCTTGAGAATTTAATACAGCCAGCATTTTATGTGAACTATTAGGGACACTGCTTTTAAATTATATTATAATAGCATGAAAAGATGGCACCTGCTAAAAATCACAATTTTGAATTTAAACCCTACAATAAATCCAGAGGAAAAATGACCACTTACTTACACACATATCTGCTGCAACTAAAACTTATTTGCAGCATATGATATGTGATGTGTGGAGAACAGTCAGGGTCATCTCTTTAACTGCTTTTTAAGATACTTAACAAAAACATTTTTAATGTTGCACGCCAGGTATTTTTCTACAATGTAGGTCTCTGGGCAGCCTGCCAAGCTGATGCCTAGTATATTTATTTAGAGCATGGCTATGATTCCTCTCCAGGAAACCCAGCGTGTTTCATGCTGATATGGGATAAAAGAGTACAAATGCATCACTTCCAATTGGCCTATTAGTGGCTGATTTAACCACTTTTGTTGCCTTTAGCCATCCCATGCAGGCCTCTGGAGAGGTGGCATACTTAATTTTTTTTTAAAAAAAAGCAGAAGCAGTGAGATGAGGGCCTGAGATATAATGACTTTTACTGGATTGAAGGGTCTGGTGTGAAAGAACATAAGATCAGCCTCAGGGCCAACTAGACACGACTGCATCTTCAATTACCCTTATGGTCTTAATCAATCATTAGAACTTGGCTACTACTTATGAGTTGCTGCTATACAGTTGTTACTTATGAGCAGAAAAAGTAATTGGTGTTACAATCTTTTGTCACATTAAAACTTTTGACTGCTATGGTGCCTAATAGATATTAGCTACAGTATATCAAGCCTTGGGTGCTGATTATTTTTTGAGGCTTACCGACCACTGGAGAGTTTGCTCTATTGTTGATCGGGTGCCTGGCTTTGAATGATTATAATAGGATTGGTGAGCATTATGACCCTTCAATAGTTTTTGTGTATTATAACTGTAAATAATAATATTATAAGAGTATTTTCCTATTCTTCCTTGTTTCAGTTTTTTCCCCCTGTAATACTGGTCTGAAGGCTTTTATACACCGTGAGTGCTGTGCTAAGGATTTTTCCTCCTACATACACCATTATAAAGTCTTCTGTACATTATGAGTACTTTATAAAGGTAATCTTTGCCTCTTAGTATTCAGGATATGGGTTTGATTGTAGTATATGATATTAATAGTTTGGTTTTACTTGTAATTGTAGTAGTGTGAACTTCTTGAAGAAGAGCTATCGAAACGAAGATCACAATCTGGAGTCGTCGTCCTTTTCTGTGTACCATTTATGGACTTGCACTATTCATGGACCTGTACATTATATGATGTAATTTGGTTTTACTGATACATGTGGTCCTCTGTTATTCTTGTCATATACATTTACTTTTTTGCATGACTTTTTGAGCACTTGTGGTCTGCGTTATTTGTACAGTGCTTGCTTGCTTTCTCTGCAGCAATTTCAACACTTAATAGGAACACCTATTATTTACCAAGCTATCTTGCAATCCAACCACTTGCCAGGCAGCTTGCCACTCCTACTCCCTTCATCCACCTAGAAACTTGTGTGTGTGTGTGGGATTTCATTTGAACATCTGCCTCCCTGCCAGCAGAAAGGGACAGTGGGGTGGGGGGGCTCATCTTCCTTGCCTGCCCACAAGGCTCCATTTTTGCTGCTGCAGCAGTGGTTTCAGCAGGGGTGGGGCTTGGGAGGCTGCCCCTCCTCCCCAACCAGCCACCTCTAGTGAAGCTGCCTTAGAAATTGAGTGGCAGAGGGAGGATGCTTCCAAGGACGGTTTCTAAGGGTTCAGATTTTTCTGCAAATCTGAGTGTTCCTCAACTCTGGAAGAATATCTGTCAAGGTGGTCCCAACCAAAGGATTTAAGTATCCACAAATGGGACCATGTTGACTATTACATATATTGATTTCAAACTTCAGTTAAATATAACAGGTTGGATCCAAAGGTTTATTCTGCTAATGATGGAACTGTCCTTCAACACCGGTACCTTCCTCCAGTGCAACTGATGTGTTGCACCAGTGGAAGGCTTCTTGCGCTGGAGGAAGGCTCCACTGTTAGACAAGGGAACCTTTAAGTCCAACCCATAAATATAGATTCTGTCATAGACATGGATTAATTTCAAATTCAAAGTCTTCTATAATTGCATATTATCTGACAGAGTTCTTACAGAGACAACTACAGCTTTTCTTCAAAGTTTCCAGCAGAAGATTCACAATGCTAGGGCTAAGCAGAGTTACACCTTTCTTCATCCACTGAAGTCAATGGATTAGACTGGTTCAGTTCTATTTAGGATTGCACATTTACCCAGCGAAAACTCCAGTGTTTATTTTCAGAACATTCAGACTCACACTCTACTTTCCCGGTACAGCAAATACAACTGGGAAATACAGCATTTGTTTTGCACATTAGACAGGACACAGGCATCAGCACCTTATAGAGCCCTTTCCCCAGGGATGGTAAAGTTCCCAGAATTCCACAGCATGTCCTCCTTGGCAAGTCAGAAAAAGAGGCCGCACATAACAATTGTTAAACTAGGTACTATCTACAAACTTGTTTTCTTCTCAGAAAGTGAGGGAAATGATATTATTTACAAGGAGGCAAAGGCTATCAAGTTGTTTATGCATTTATTTAATTCAAGCCACAATGTTAATCTTTAAAGGTAAAGGTTCCCTTGCTTGAAAGCCAGTCGAATCCGACTCTTGCGTTGCGGTGCTCATCTCCGTTTCAAAGCCGAAGAGCTAGCGCTGTCCGAAGACGTTTCCGTGGTCATGTGGCCGGCATGACTAAACACCAAGGTGCACGGAACGCTGTTACTTTCCCACCGAAGTGGTACCTATTTATCTACTTGCAATTTCTTGCTTTCGAACTGCTAGGTTGGCAGGAGCTGGAACCAGAGACGGGAGCTCACTCCGTCATGCGGCACACTCGGGTCTCGAATTGCTGAACTACCGACCTTCCACAGCCACAAAACACAGTTATTGTTTTTGCATAATAGATTAAATGCAGCTATGATTCCTTCGGAACTTATCTGCAAGAGCTCTAGAAACCCCACATATTTAGCAGGAAGGGACTATGGCTTAGTACAGCAATTACTTTGTAAGATGAAGGCCCCAAATTCAACCCCCTTGCATCTCCAGGTAACAGGATCAAATAATAAGTGATATGAAAGACCTCTGCTTGAGACTCTGGAGAATCTAGCTTTCACTTAAATAATACACTTAAAAAATCATTGATTAAATAAGAGGCCAGTAGCACTGTGACTCACAAAAGTTTATGCTGGAATAAGCTTTGCTAGCTTTTAAGGTGCTACCAGACTTATGCTTAATAGTGCTACAACAGATAACGAGATTATCCCTCTGAAATATTGACCTTGAGAGACTAATTATCTGATTCAGAAAAGGCAGCTTCACCTGATCACATTATCTTCCTTTCTGAATATGGAAGTTAGTCCACACCACCAGCAGATTAAAGAATTTTTAGATGATTATTCATTTTTAGATCACTTACTTTAAAAAAACAAGGATTAGAAATTGCCAGTAATTCCCCCACTTTGCCTATGCAAAAGAGCTCGACAATATTCAAATTATTTCCTACATCAACAGCTTAGTACACGAACGGCGGATGAGAATACAAGAAAAAGAACACGACAATGGAAAGACTGCATACCCGCTACCCACATTGGGGTCCTGTTCCCGCGCACGTTCGCCTCACCCCCCACAGCCCATGCATTCAGAACCCACCACGGCAACTTCTCCCGTTACGAGACCCCACCCCTCCAACCTCCCGCATGACAACCCTTTCCTGTTCTTGGCGGAGAAGGTAACTACCTAAGACGCAACTTCCGGCTTTCCCACAGGCGCTTGAGGCAATCGCTGGATCTTCCTCTTCTTTCCCTCTCTTCCCCCCCACTCTCGTCGTTCCTCCTCAGTCCGCACCAGAGTGCAGACAGGATGTGCCAAGGCGACCGTCTCTCCCTCGCGTCGCCTGTATGAGTGTGCGCATGCGCGGCCCCGTATGGCTCCTACGGCGTTCCGACCACTAGACGCCAACATAGCAGAGGAGGAGAGAAAGAAGAGATGGCGGCAGTAGTGAGCGGAGCGGCTGGGGGAAGAGCGCGAGGCGACTGGAAGGCTGCAGAGGCGCCGCGAGGGCGCCGTCTCGACTTATAACCGCCCTTTCGCATCCCCCCCCCACCGGAAAGGGAGCCCCTCTTCCTGCGCCCGAGCGGTCCCCGATCCAGCTCCGTTGGGGGGCCCGACCGGCCTCGCGGAAGGTCCCGGCGGTGAGAGTCGGTGTTATTATGCCTCGCTCCTTGTTGCGTCTCCAGAGCGCCGCCGCCCCCCGGGGCTGATGCTGAAACTCCTGCTGGCTCCGGCCGCCGCTTCTGCCGCCCCGTAGCCCGGCGGGAAAGGAGGGCTTCTCCAGCCATGTATTTCCTGAGTGGGTGGCCGAAGAGGCTGCTCTGCCCCTTGGAGGCTCACGAGCCCCCGCTCCGCATCCGGGCCGACCCGCAGAGGACTTTGTTCGCCGTGTTGTCCCCGTCTCAGCTGAGCATCTGGTACAGCCGGGTGAGTCTCTCCTCGGAGTCTTCCGCCGCTCCGCTGCGCTGCTTCTCCACACGCTCCTTCCAGTGAGGTCCGAGGGCCATTGCCAAGGGGGCTCGGCCCAGGTCTGGGTTCAGACCCCGGCTTGGTCACTCTCGGGCAGGTCTTTCTCTTCCAGCCTTTGGTGTCCGGTAGCAAATTTGGTAATGACTTGCCTGCAGCACAGGGGTGTTGTGCTGGACTACTGGAAGATGTATATTATAGAGTCATAGTTAAGTGTCATAGGAGGGGAAAAACTTAAAAGGCCTCTGGTGGTTACAGAGCCTCTTTGGAAAGGTCTGTACTGGATTTGAATCTGAATGATGGAGGTGCCCCTTTAAAATGAGGGATGCCTTTCAATGTTTCTTGTGGCCTTCTCACTAAATTCTTATAAATGGCTGGTTTGGGCTGTTTCTCAGTGACATAAATAACTGTATAACTCTAAGAAAGCTGGTGGAAAATGATGGTTATTTTAAAGGACATAAGAACATAAGAGAAGCCAATGTTGGATCAGGCCAGTGGCCCATCCAGTCCAACAGTCTGTCACACAGTGGCCAAAAATACCAGGTGCCATCAGGAGGTCCAGCAGTGGGTGCCACCTGCTTTGTTTTTGTCAGCACTCTTGTTGTTTAGACTATAGTTAAAGCTGAAATTTATTCTCCCCTTCTTTCCCCTTCTTTTTGATCTAAGGTACTAGCTTGTCTGATCAATGTCCCTGCATTGTTTTTCATTACCCTGCAGCACTGGTTTGGATATATACAAAATAAATCTTTCCAGTAGTATGTTCACTAAATTTTAAAAAAATGTTCTGGTGTTCTGTGGTTTCTCAAATGTTCACTAGTCCATGAATATCATAATTGTGGTTGGCAGCTACATTTTGTTCCCATGATGTTGTTCTCCTTGTCTGAGTATCTGAGTGTAACTTAGGCCATACACCTGAAGCATCCATGAAATTCTGTTTATAAATTCCTAATCCTGTAATCCAAATCCAGTGCAGGAGAGAATTACAAAAGATTATGTTCAGGAAGAGTCGGGTAGCATTCATTAAACATGGATGAAATTAATTTAATTATTTGAGTTTTATTCAAAGAGTCAGCCTTGGTCTTTGAATCAGGATTTGGCAGTGACAGCAGTGTTGTCAGTAGTTACCAATTTCACCATCTGGTGTGCATGCTTTAATAAAACACTGAAGTGTTGGGATTTGAGAGGGTGCAGTGGAATGTGCTTTATCTCCCTACCATACGATCAAAATACAATTCTACCAATTGTGTTTTACTTTTAGATTTAGATTTAAAAGCAATTTTTAAATAGAGTAATCCAGTTACTGTTGTTTAGCTATACCAGGTAAACCTTGATTTAAAAAGGTCATCAAAGGAAGCTGCAGTTCATAGGCAGTGGTTCCACATACCAATACTTTGCTTAGTTTCTGCTTCCACTGATGTCTATGATGCAATGTTATTTTATAGTGGCACTTTGTGACCAGTAGCACTACCTGATGGTTGGTTTCAAAATATTAAGCATCTCTATAATGCTACCACACTTCAGGATGCACCTTAAACATTTTTGAACACCCTCATGACAATAATTTGTAGTAGTGTTTCCTGCCTGTGACATAATTTTGGTATCCCTTTATGACTCTAGTTGCTCCTTCTCACAAAAAGAATTTTGAAGAACTGGAGAAGATTCCTGAATTCTTAGGAGGCTAACCACCTGCAATGTGAGGAAAAGTTAAAACATTTGAGGCATTTTAGTTTAGAAAAAGGACAGCTGAAAGGTGGGGAGATTAAAGACACCTTAAATTTTTTTCTCCTGATAGTAAAGCTAGAACTTGGAATCATTTAGTAAAATTAACAGTACATTCAGGACAGCGAAAGAAAATACAATTTCATGCAACCCATAATTAACTTATGGAATTCACTGCTATAAGATATGATTGGTAACAGCTTAACTGGCTTTAAAGAAATATATATGCCTTTGTAGAGGTTAGGTCAGCTGCCACCATTAGTCATATTAGGTAAAAGTAGCCTTTGTGTAAATGTACATCTGATACTGTGGATAAAAGTGTGTAGGCCTGTTTTGTATGTTTCCAAAGGCTGGATGCTGTTGGAATGCTTGTGTAAAGAGGCTCTTGGTCTGAGCAGGATAATGCCTACCACCTTATGCATCTGGGGTGTTTTTTGTCAGTGAGTTTGCACAATTAATTTTATTTATGTGCTAGTGCTTCTGATATTAGGGCTGGGTTGCTACAGCATGTAAATATTTAGGTGTAGCTTTTTAACTAGGAAGAAGGCATAATTTGATAAGGCAGAAAAGTACTGGAAGTCACGTCTTCCTTATCTTTGAAATATGCACAAATACACGAAAAGGAATTCTTGTTTGTGAAAAATCTGAAGGCCTTGTACTCTGTGAAACTTTGTGGGAAGTTGGTTGTCTACAAACATGAATTGCATTATATTAGAAGCAATAATGTTCAGTATAAAAACCTGCATGTTTTATTGGTCTGCAAATGGCCTAAATTTATCATGGGTACATTGCAACCCCATTGGGATTGTTGGAAGAAATTATGGGTTTATGAGCATGACTACTGAAGGCCAGGTTACCTGAGCAAGATGATACAGTGCTCTGAAGTGAAGAGGCTATTAAATGACTGTGATGAAGTGTAGGAGCTGAGCGAGTGGCTTCTGGACTGTGGAGACACAAAAGATTTAGTAGGTTTGAGATTGGTGCACAGTTTCATAAAGTTTGGTGTGAGCTTGAATTGTTTCCCCTGGCACACTAGAGAATGTGGATGGCTTAAGATTTTACATGATCTTATGGGCAGATGGCAATTGCTAATAGTTATTAACAGTGCTGCTGTTATCCTGTATTTAGTAGGTCAGAAACTTTCCAGACATTAATAATGTATATTTAACCTTGCTCTACAGTCCATGGAACAGAAAATTGAAAGTTAAAGCAAGTGAGTAGGGAAGCTTGCTTACTTTTCTCCAAAGCTTATTTGTTCCAAGCAGGTAGCTTATGATGTTGCAGGTAAATTAGCATCCTGTGTTTTTGCAAGTGGGACTAGGCCATGCAACTCTGACCTTGCTTTTAAAATCCTTGAAAAGCTCGACACACTGGGTTGAGCCAACATGTAAAGTCTGGGGCCAATTAGGCCAATAAGCTGATCTATTTATATGGTATCTCATATGATTGTGCTGTAAAGCAACTGAAACTTCACTTCATAGGGGTGTTATTTTTCTGCATAAGCATTTTCATGAAACATGTCAACTTCTGGCTTTTCAGTTAACTAATGTGCACTATACTTTGGAAGTACTTCTAAAAATATTTGAGCCAAGCCAGAAAACAAGACTCAGAAGCTGATTTTTAAAATGTCATCTTGTTATATATTAGCCTTGAAAGTGATACAATAAAATCATTGCATGGGGTTCAGTATTTGTGATTATTTACAATGATCCAACATTGGCTTCTCTTATGTTCTTATGTATGTTGGTTTATAAATGTAGTAAATATGCTATTCTAAGCACTTAATGTTGGGTTAAGCTAAATAGGCAAGAACGTGGGTAACGAGAAGAAGAGACAAAGTTCCTTGAAATTAATCTTGTGGAACTTTTAAAACCTCATTAGGCTGAAAATCAAGAAGAATGTGTTCTTTCTTACCTACCCACAGCACTGATGAAAAAGATGTAATGTTAACCTAAAAGGGGTTTAATATGGTTAGGTATACATATTGTGACCAATGCTCCCTCTAAGCTGCGGAGTCTTGTGAGCAAAAATTCTACTTTGTGAGCTACTGGCATTAAAGTTGTAAGCAAGCGATTTGGCTGCTTCATAAACTAGTTTGCTCTGGAGCTATCCTTCCTGAGCTAAGACAAAAATGTGTGAGCCGCAGACTAAAAAACTGTGAGCTAGCTCACACTAACTCAGCTTAGAGGGAACACTGATTGTGACATATATTTTTAGTAATTTTTGTATTTCTGTCAAGCACTACTAGCTTGATAGTGTGTACTCTTAAAAATATTCAGACAGCTGATGAGCACATCTATAGATTACTTCTGGGTTAAAAAGAATAGTTGTACTAAATACACCTATGCATGCTGTGCTATGTATACTGGTTGTGTGCATATAATACTTATAACATCTTGAATATTTCATCTGTGTTTTGATGACTTAAAAACTAAAGTAACTAATGCATGTGAAGAAGTGACACTTTCGTATATAATATTTAAGGCAAACACTGTGTGGCAGAATGAAATAAATGAAATATATACTTCAAGAGTGTCTGAGATAACCAGAGCCACCTCAGTATGACCAGAAAGCAAGTATGACAGCATAAAACAGATATTCATCTTGGCTATATTTGGAGTGCAGCCTTGATATATATATAGAGCAGGAGTCCCCAACATGGTGTCTGCTGACACCTTTCCTGGTGCCCACCAAGTGTTTGTAGAAAGTGGGCATGGCCAGGTGAGGCTTTTACCCAGCAAAGCTGCTGATTAGCCATTGGAGATTTGATTGGCTGTGCAGATCGTTAAAAACTCTGCTTTGGCAGCCACTGCCACCACACCACAAGGATCTTCACTGTGTCCCTGAAGATAAGCTATGGTAGCCATTTTGTGGCAGGTGCTGCCTTCTGCGGCAGCCATTTTGTAACAGCTGTTTTGTTGCTGAGCCCACTACACTGTGTCAGAATTCTGAAGGGCTCAAAAGTTGGGGATCCCTGGGACAGGAGCTTGATTTCAAAAAGAAATAGCAGTTGGGGCTGTGTGGAAAAGTAGTAGCAGAAGAGGGTTTTAGCCTTCTTTGTCGGGAGTCATAGAGAAGGAAACTTCTCTTCATTTGGAATATATCTGCCAGCCCTACTATTGATTGGGATTTTTGTTCCTGTATTCCCTTCTGCCACCCTTCTTTTACCTTGTAGCATTTTAGAAGTCTCAGCCTGCATAAATAGGATAAATTGGTGTGAATCAGTCTTCAGGTTTCCTGCAAAATTATCTCTGCTGATTGGGGGGGCACTTGGTACAAATATGAAGATACGAAGCAAGATCAGTTCCTTGAAAGCTAAAAATTCAGTCATGTATATGGAAGTAAGGATCACTGAATACATATCCCAAGTGTTCAGAGCTTTCTTGAAGGGAGTGATAGTTACTTCTGTTAAAATTGTGTTGCTCTTCAGGGTGGAAATAAGATATCTGTGCTGTTCGATTATCAAAAATATTCATTATTTCAGAAGTGGAGCATTTTGGTTGGAGGACATAAAATAGTCCAAGATGATCCCAATGGGGTCAATAGCTGATTCTAGTATATACTAGAAATAAGGCCCGTTGTGGAAATAAATACAACGGGATCTAGAAAGAGGCTCTGGGAGAGTGCTCTGGCTTTGGGCAAACAGTGTCAGTCTGCTTTTAAAACATGAATCTGGGACCTGCACACCACCAGAATACAGCAGATTCCATATGCAACTGACATTCCAACTGCCTTGCGGGGGGGGGAGTTTGAGGTGTGGAATGGAGTGAAGTCCAATCAGCTTCCATATGCAAAAGACCAGGTTGTCGCAGCAGTTGTGGTGTGGGCGGGACCCGGGCTTTGCCTTCTGATTGGTGGTGATATATGCTGAGGAGCAGTGCCATCAGCCATACACTAAGGGAGTGCATTTTAGAATTAGAACTTTGGCACCCACTATTCAATTATATATAAGGAGAGATAGGATAACGTCTAAATTTTAGCATCTGTGAGTCATGTGGTCAAATTTAAAGACTGCAGAAAGAAAGGTAATGTGATTCTCTGTCATTTATAATGTTTAACCATGAAAGTTAAATATTTTTGTCCATTATATCCAATATTAGGTTGTACCTTTTTAGTACTGTTGTGATACTTCTTGGTAGCTGCCTCAGTTAGAACAGGATAGTCAGTTACCCTGTTTCCCCCAAAATAAGACCTACCCCCAAAATAAGCCCTAGCAGGATTTCTATGCATTTTAGGTATAAGCCCTAGTGTGTCTTCTTGAGAAAAAATAAATATGACAGTGTCTTATTTTCGGGAAAACATGGTATGTTGATATTCAGTTCCTCAGTATATGCCGGCACCTGTGGCTTGCATGATGCATTCACTTTTGATCAGGGTGCATATGTATAATAAGCTTTTGCTTTGTGTAGCTTTTGACTTGCCTTGCAAGAGAAAGAGCAGCTGTTCATATACAAAATCTACATAAGTGTTTTAGTTTATATTAAACCCAGTCCTTATCACTAGCGTACACTGACTGTATTGGATAGCTTTGCTTCCAAATAGTAGTCCAGTGGTGAAAGAAATATCTTTGTAAATGTAAGTAAAATCTTAGAATTTAGGAGTGATGTAATTTAACATGTTTTCTGGATTATATATGTTAATTGTATGGGTCCTATGCTAGTATTATCAGTTCTGCAGATAGGTAGATTTCGCCTTCCCCTTTTCTTGTTTTTGGTTTGTTTATAAGACTTATATCCCATCCTACAAAACTTCTGAGTACAGTTTATGACAGAGATTAAACATTTAAAACAAGTACTAGAATTAGTATTTGTGATGTCTGAGCACATTTTCAGTTTGTTTGGTTGGTAGTGAATCGTATATGTAGTTTACAGTCCGTGCTGAAAGTACATTATATCTGCTACGTTTAGTTTGGAGGAATGGAATATGGAGGCAAGAATTGTGTCCTTTTATTTCTCAAAACAGTGTTATTCTCCTAAACTACTTGTGAAACTGAGGAGGGAGGCTAATCAGGGTATGTGTTGCAATGGTTCTTGTTATTACTGTTCTTCTTAGAAGGAAATTTATGGACAAGGAATATATGTTTGTTTTTTACAAGTTTATCTTTTAGGTTTCACTTGGTATATAATCTATATATCTTTTAATTGTTTTTGGATGAACGGTTTTAAGAATTAACATGTGAAACCATTGAAAGGACAGAAGGTTCACTTTTCAGTCCCTAATGTGATTACTATATTAAATGTTTATTACTATTTCTAGTAATTCTTAAAGGAAAACTACAAACATTGCATAAGTGTGTCTTTTTAGGAGCTAGCACCAGATAGGCTTAAATAGCAGGACAAATTGTTACTTGTGTTTGTTAACTGATTTTAGGCATTTGAGATTTTTCCGCAAAATAAGCTACTTATATACTTTCAAAAAATTGTACCATGTGCTGTTGATGTGCATGTTCTTTGCAATACTCCAAGTTGTGGAGCCTTGTGAGCAAAAATTCTACTTTGTGAGCTACTGGCAATAAGGTTGTGAGCAAGCACGTTGGCTACTGCTTAAATTAGTTTGCTCTGAAGCTGTCCTTCCTGAGCTAAGATGAAATGTGGGAGCCAAAGGCTAAAAAACTGTGCTAGCTCACACTAACTCAGCTTAGAGGGAACACTGGTTCTTTGTATAGTAGCCAGCAGCCTAAATATAGAAGTCTAGAACATAGAAGTGTCCAGAAATTAGAACTGAGCCAGTCATATATAGAAGCTTTTTGTCACACTGTTAAATCCGAAATTTGGTTTTTGTATCAGCCACATACTTTTTTCATGTAGCCATTTAAGCATGTTAAAGTTATTATAATTGAAATATAACATTTATAAATGTTGTACTCTTTCTTTCCAGCCCAGTGTGTTAATTGTAAGCTATAAAGAATTACCAAAAGCAGCATCGCAATTTGGACCTTATGACCAAGCTGAATGGAGACCTGACAGTACCATGCTAGCTATTTCGGTGAGTAAAGATGTTCCTTGTGTTTGGGTGGGGATGGAACTATGGTACTAAATTGATACGTTGGTAGGGAATTTAGTCTGAGTAATTCTTTGTTCTATGACAAGGGAAAGCTAATTGTGATCTTTATTCTGAGAAACTTTTAGGCATTTGTATCCTACCTTTCTTTCATCACAGAACTCAAGAATTTATATGGTTCCTAGGTAATCTCTTACCCAGGGACTGGCCACATCCAAACCTGCTTTACTTCAGCAAATTTTCTATATCATGTACTCTGTGTCTTGTATCCTGGGACCTTTATATCACAGCATTGTACATTGTGACTGTGTGGGCTTAATACTGCTGGGAGGAGTGCCATCTAAGGTGGTGTTACCCACATCGATTTTCCTGAATCGCATATTAGAAAGAATGCATGTAGGAAAGTGAACAGAGAATGGGTGAAGGCCTGTAATTAATGTGGTTGCCTTTGGCCATGAATTCAAGGGCCTTATGTATGTGTGCTCAATAAATATAGCATGTGAATTTGTTCACTAACTGGTAGGTGAGGAGCACTTGTGGAATTGAGACGGGGGTGATGGAAATGTGCTCTTTAGGAAACTAAATGGGAGGGAACCTTCTAATTCGTGAAAGCAGGTTTTCATTTGTGCTATTGAAAGTTAAGTGCATGGTTCCTTGTGTGTGTGTGTGTTTTAAAGTTCTGGAGTATAGCATGGTGTAGTGGTTAAAGTGTCAGATTAGGACCTGGTAAACTCAGGTTTGAATCCCCACTTGGCCATGGAAGCTTGTTGGGTGTCCTTGGGCCAGTTACGCACTCTCAGCCTAACTTACCTGATAGGGTTCTTGTGAGGATGAAACAGAGGAGCGGAGAACACTTTGGGTTCCCATTGGAGACAATGGCAGGATATAAATAAATATAACCAATTCTGAACATGGCCCCAAATGCAGATTTAAAAATTCTCATAATTGGGTCATGTACAGGTAGAAAAATTTTCTTCAGATTGGGGGAAATTCAAAAGTTTGCAGAAAAGTCCAAAAAGTTAAATGTTCACGTGTAAAGATCACAGTCAGCACTATAGGGTTGCTTAGCAAACAAGGTGCTGGAGCCTGGTCCTAGGCAACCATGGCAGGGCAGAAGGCTGTGGGAAAGCTGTGGTGGTGGAGGGGACAAAGTGGCAGGGAATGCAAGAGAGTCTAGAAGCTGGAGTGGGGGGAAGTGGAGAGAAGACTGAGAAGAGAAAAGGTGGGGGCAAGTGGGGAAAGGGATAGTATTTCCCTCTCCCATGGGTCTCATGGATCCTCAGTTTGTGTAATATATTTCTGATATTAATGTCAATGTGAGGCAATAATATGAGCCTAAATGGGAACAAGGTGGGAGGATAATTTTCTATTAAAGGAAGAGACTATCTGTTCTTGCAGAAAAATAGTGTGTGGGGATTTGAATGACCATGCTATTCCTCCTCACCCCTCAAAAATTCTAAAACTACCCTGGATGTGAGCTTGGCCTGTGGCCTCTCCTGATGCTGCTGGGGAATATTACACTAAATCAGCACACATGACTTCAAGGTGGGTGAACTTATCAAGCTGCCTTATTCCAATGATCAGGTTTAATGGCTGTTCTTCAGCAGCCACTCTCTGAGGTCCAGTGTACTGAAAAAATCTTCCAAGCACCTACTACCTGAGATTCTTTCAACTGGAGATTGAATCTGGAATTTTGTGTATCCAGAGGTCATGTACTTTCACTAAGCTGAAGACTCCCCATTTGACTATGGTGACATTGTCACTGCATTATACTGGCCTTCTTATGATCTTCTTGACTGCCAAATTTTACTCCTCTGCTATGTGGTCATACTGGAAGGCTAAGCTACTGTGGGGTGAGAAGCGGAAACAGTTGTGCGCAGGCACTGCGTTACTTTAGTGTGATGCATTTAAGCTCAATTCCTGTCCTACATGGTCATTCTGAGAATGAAGGGCAGGCTCTCTTTGATTCTGAAGCAACCACAAGGAAGTGGCTTGGCTCAAAGGAAGCTTTCTGTGAGCCTAATCCTTTTATTGATGATTGATTCTTGTTCTAGTGAAGAGAGAGCAAAGAAACAGAATCCTTTATTCCCTTTTCTCCTTCTTTCCTCCCCCCCTCTAAACTCCTTATTGATTTGTACATTGTAAAGAATGAAAAAAGGAAATATCAATCAACGGACAGCTCTGACCTGCATCCAGGTATCAGAAACAAGACAGATTTTCAGGTGGGTAGTCGTGTTGATCTGAAGCAATAGAACAAAGTTCAGTGGCATCTTTAAGACCAACAAAATTTAATTTCGGGTATAAGCTTGAAGGTGCCACTGGACTCAAACTTTGTTCTAACACAGATTTTGTTTGTGACTGCATAAGCCTGCTTAATTGTTGGGCTCACATCTTCTCTCCCTTGATTGAAGGCACTATGTCTTCTATCTCTATGTACTGTGCAAGAGAAGAGAAGGGTGTGAGGCGATGAACCTGGAAATTAGCCTGATTTGTGTCTTTCATGAAACATCCCAGTTTGTAATGTCTAAAATGAACCCTGTTTAGGCAGCATGTTAGATAGAATTGCCTAACTGCAGAGGTCATTTCGGGGGGAATCGCGGGGGATCGCAGTTCCCCCGGGTGAGGTACGGGGGGCGGGGCACATGACGAAGCCCCGTCCCCTGCTTCCGGCCGCCCCGCTTCCGGCCCTCATTCAGCCAGGAGGAGGCAGGAGAAGAGGGAGGGTAAATTGCTTCCTCCCCACCTCTCCCCACCCCTGCCTGCCTTGGGCCAGGGAGGGCCTTCGCGGGGCTTCCTTGCACTCCCGCCGGCCTTGCAGGTCCACCGCCGGTCCCCTCATGGGGCTCAGCAGTGGAGCTGCAAGGCCGGCGGCGGCGGCCGGGACCGTTGGGGGCGGGGTGTGTGACCTTATGACACACTTCCGGTGATGTCAGGGGGTGTGGCCTTATGACACACTTCCGGTTATGTCAGGGGGTGTGGCATATGCTAATGAGTTATGCTAATGAGTTCCCCTAGCTCTTTTTCTACGAAACGACCCCTGCCTAACTGTAGTGAGTTTACATTGCAGTTCTGGAGACGAAGGAACCGCTCGGCTACCTTGCCTCAGGTTGAGTTTTGAGAAGACCAGCTGAATGATAGGTTGTTTACATGGAGAGGTTGGATAAAAAAAGAGGGTTGGTATTGAACAGGAGACTTGTTTGTTCAATTTAAAGATGGCTACATCAAAGCAGATAAAATTTCATCCATGTCTAGTGACTGACTGGTTCGAAGCAAAATGTGGGAGATGAAATTCAAATAGCTAAAATGGAGTTCTAAAATGGCTAGCTTCTGAACAGGCACCAGAATGTTTTAAAGGATGGCTTTGTATACATAAATACAAACCAGCTGTCATTTTAATGCATGTTGCTGTAAAGCTAACATCTCCAGCCACAACTTTTGTCTGAATGTACTATATATAGAAATAACACTGTTCTGTGTATAGAATTTTGTTTTCAGTAAACAGTACTTGTAATAAACCTTATCAGTACAAGCTTCCTCTGGTTTTCAGTTCATCTGGAGTAAACAAGAGCCTGCCTGAAAATGGTCTAAGGGTTTTAAGGTTGAAAACATTCATAGTATAGAGTTTCTTTTTAAGTTCTTTTGTTAGTTTGGTAATATTATTAGGCTTAAAAATATTGCAGATATTTTTAAGATTTCCAGAATTTTTGTCATACATGAAGGCTGTACCAAAATGTTTGAGAAATTCATGTTTGCCTAGTTGCAGTGTAATGTACTCCAAACTGTTAGATAAACACAAGTTTATACATTTTGATTTTTCTCTCTAATATCTCTTCTACTACTGCTAATATACTGCATAAAGATTTGGTTTTGTGGTTTCTGCTGCCACAGTAGCTGTTCAGTTCTTGCACTTATTTCAGTTCAGAAGCACAGTGAAACACATAGTCCCTGGTGCTTCAGAACTCAGCTCAGGAGTTGAGCAATTTCTGCGGGAATGGTAACCACAAATTCAGATGCAGTGCATTAGCAAACACAAAGTTAGCCTTGTGAGAGACCTCAACCAGACAGCTTGTGCACATATTTGAAGACTTGACTAATGAGCATGGATGGTTAAATGTGCACAGTTGTCACACGTGCCACTGATGGTTTTGATAAGCCCACGTGCGTATGATCTAAATGAGAAACTCAATAATTGGAAAGTCTGCTAACTGTATTACCAGATCACAAATAGCTAATTTTATACAACCCTATATTTTGTAAATTGCTTCAAGTGGTAGGATTCTTAATTTTGGATATTTTTTTAAATTGAGCACTTCAGTTGGCACACTTTGTATAATTGTATCTTATATTAAGACAAGTAGGCACCTACAAGGACTTGAGGAAGGCATATCATTTCCCCTTCCTCTACTGTTTCCTCTTTCCTTTTTTTCCCTTTTCCTGAAAGCCCCCATAGCCTCTCCCCTTTTCCTGCTTCCTTCTGTTTTAGGGTTGCCATCCTGCAGGTAGGGCATGGAGATCTCTTGGAATCACGATTGATCTCCCAGCTACAGAGATCAGTTCCCCTTATGGTTGCCAGCTCCAGGTTGGGAATTTCTGTAGATTTAAGTGGCAAAGCCTGGGGGGGGGGGCAAGGCTTGGGGAGATAAGCAACCTCAGCAGGGTGTAATGCCATAGATTCTACCCTCCAGAGCAGCCATCTTGTTCAGGGGAACTGATCTCTGTCATTTGTAGATCACTTGTAATTCCAGTTGATCTCCAGCCCCCACCTGAAGGTTGGCAACCCTAGTTCCACTGAACAAAATGACTGCTTTGGCAGGTACAAGGCATGGCATTATACTCCGCTGAGCTCCCTCCCCTCCTGAATACCCACTTTCCCTGGCCTTTGCCACCCAAATCTCCGAGAATTTCCTAACCTGGAGTTGGCCACTCTATCTCCTTTCCACCAAAAACCTGACCTACCGTTATCTGCCAAAAGCTTTCCTTCTCAT